TTGGTTTCCTTACTAACTACCCATTAGTTCTTGACTAGTTCCTCTTCATTTACAAGGTAACTAAGCAGTAGTCCTTTAATAAGGCTGGGTTGTGTGTTCCCCAGTAAGTACTGGTTAACTACCTATTAACTCCTGATTTGTTCCTGAGACGTTCTCTAGTAGTTGATCAAATTTTGTGTACCTTATTGTAAAGTGTTACCGATATTTGTGCATTAAATATTTTACTGACAGCAGCTCACACAAAAGCATCTGTTGAGAATGTTCTGGATTTCTGCATCAGCTGTTACTCAGACCATATTGGGACAGCATCATCTGAACGAACGTGTGTGAATTTGTTACAGGACGAGCATGTTGAGACTCAGTATGGGGACGTCCACTGCGTAATGACAGGCACCCTGAAACCCAATCGACCCGTCATCCTGACCGTACCAGATATCGGACTGAATCGTAAGCAACAGCTCTCAGAGCCCTAAAGCACAGTTTTACTGCAGACACACTCTAAATCCCATGAATTTAAACATTTAATTTTATTTATTTACTTTGTTGGCTGTGTGAATGCTGCAGCAACTACTGTTACTGTTTTACTTTTTTATTTATTCACATATTTTTTTTTTTTATCTAACCGCTTTTGCGCATTTTGTGTTTTTTTTAGACACATATCAAAATCTTTAATTTAACTTTAAACCATTTCAAATGATTTAATATAATGTTTTTGGTAGTTTTTCCTTCCCACTGTCGCCTTGATGCTTACTCAGGATGAGAGTCTGTGATGAAGTTAGACTCAAAGCAGTCTGCTCCTCAGATAAATAATGTTATTAACTTACTTTATATATATGAATGTTTCTGCTCAGTGCCCTGAGACGACTTCTGTTGTGACTTGTATATAAATAAACTGAATTGAATTAAATCCTTTTAGCTTTGGACTTTTGAGGTTTTTAGCTTTTATCTAGTTTTCTGCTACTTTTGGCTTTTAGCTTTAATGAACAACTCAGTTTAGTGTTTTCAGCTAATTTCAGTACTTATCCAGTGCTTTGCACACTACATTTGAGCAGAAATTTCTCTAGTTTACCATTAATTTATATAACGTAGTGCTAGCCTACAGCGCTAACGTATATCTTAGATCTTTTAGCGTACCATTTGGTGTTCGTTTAGCGTCTATCATAGATCCTTATTACTCTCTTTTTACACTTTATATTTTTGCTATCTTTTTAGTGTAACTGGGACCCTGAGTACACAATTTTGTTCCACCTCCTGTACTACATGTGATGTGAACGACAATAAAGAACCTTGACTTTGACCTTGATTAATTGTTGCCGTAAATTTTTGTTATAGTTAAAGTTGTTCAAAGTGCATTTTGTGCGTTCTAAGCTCTGACAGTAATATTTAAGCATCATGTCAGTTTGAGGAACTCTCATCTGCAGGTTTCCAAACTGATGCATTTTCTTGTGTTTTTCCCCACGTAGACAAATCTTGTTACGAGTCTCTGTTTAACCACGAGGACATGCAAGAAATTGCCAGATGTTTGCCAGTTTGTCACGTTGAGGCACCGGGACAACACGAGGGAGCTAAAACTCTGCCTGCTGTGTCAGTGGACAATCTTTGTTTCCATTTCCTTGTGCCCTTTTCTTATTGTGTTCATGTTTATATTTCACTTTGCATATATTCATCCATCTGCATGTGGGTGAGTTGTGTTGGCAGATGAGACATAAATTTGACATTTGACCTTTCAGATATACGTACCCGTCCATGGAGCAGCTCGCCGAGGTGTTGCCAGATGTCCTGAAACACTTTGGGTGAGACGTTTTGCCTCCACAGGCTCCTCTGACAATATTCACCCCCATAGAGTTTTTGTTGAGCTCTGCTCCTCCATCGTCCTTGAAGAAATAAGATTTTCTCGTGTGCTTCGCAGGTTTCACAGCGTGGTTGGTATTGGAGTTGGAGCAGGAGCATACATCCTGGCTAGATTTGCTGTGAGTTTCAGGGGTTTTTTTTCAATTCAAATTCAAAAAGATAATTCAGATCCTGAAGAAGTGTTCTATAAAAAAGGTTATGAATAATTAATATCTTTTTTGTTGTAGATTTCTCTTTGAATCACCTCAGTTTAGACTATTTTTTTAAACTGAGGTTTTTTAAAGAGCCACATTCTACAGGCGTGATACAATAAAAATTAAATAAATAAATAATTATTCAAAAATTATAACATTTCTGTCAGAGAAGCTCGCATCAAATTATTTGAGCTGTCCCTTTAACCCTTGGAAGATCTTCAAACCATACACCTATTTACTTTTGTCCGTGATTTGATTTACTAATATATTTTGGTGCAGTCACTACTACTTTTTTAAATTGTTGTCATGATTTTTTTTCCAAATGCTCTCATTAAATAATAATTTTATTCCGCTCTTTGTGTTCCTTAGGCGAAACACACCACCACATTAAAATATGTTATAAGCACAACTTTTAATTCCTATTTATCATATCATAAAGTAATGCATCTGCTACATAGTTCTTTATTTTATTTACCTCTATCCCTATACTTTTGATTTTTATAATAGCCCACTAAGTGGTGCTCCACGTTTATCAATCAACCTTTATTTATACAGGTAAATCCCATTGAGCCTCGAGGACTCATTTACAAGAGAGACCTGATTTCAACAAAGAAAGATGACAACAATGGACAACAGCAACAACAATAAGCAGTTATAAAAACTCATACTACAGTTTTTTTTTTTTT